TCGAATATCCAAAAACTAATGAGAATTTTAACGAAAAGTATTCGGTATAGTTCATTTTAACGAAAAATCATATTTTTACACTAAAAGTTAGTCTTTGTACTATTCACTTTACCCTTTATTTTGTCCTTATCATTAAAACTCAAAGTTTTCAAACATTTTTCATTAGTTTCCTAAAACTAAAACTAATATTGTTATTTTTCGACGGAATTATGTTTCGATGAACTGTTAAATTTTGATTTAACGATATAATTATTATAATTTTTTAAAAAATCTTATATTTATAATCGTTAAGTTCCGTGTTAATCATGACGGTTGATCTCCGAGAGGATCCATTTCCATTTTCGACGGTCACAACACAAATTTTTAAAGACAGGAAAACATAAAACATATAAGACTCGCGTCAGAGCCAAGTGTGATCGGATAAGATAAGTTCGTACGCGTGGCGTGGTACGAAAGTGTCGGGTCTCTGAACCGGTACCGCCATATGAGTTGGCGCCAATTTATAATGTCCAGTTGTCTACATGCTTCCACGTCTTCGCCTTGTTACCGCCCGTATACGTTGCCATGTTACGGTTTCTTTTCCCGCTAACCGTATGTTTCCGTTAGAAAGTTTTTATGCACTATATTTATCTAAGAATCACCCTAAGAAAAGATTTAGAGTACTTGGATCTAACGGAGGACATGACACAAAACCGAGCGCAATTGCGTTCTAGGATTCATATAGCCGACCCCACTTAGTGGGAAAAGGCTTTGTTGTTGTTGTTGTATTTATCTAAGAATCATTTTGATTTCGATCCCTAATCAATTTAATTATTATATTGAAATTTTGTTTGTTTAAATATTTTGATCGAGGTCTTTAACATCATTTAAGATATTTAATTTATGCATTTAATGTCCCACAAATTACGAGTAAAAATATAATAAATACTTAAAAATAAATATTAGAGTAATATTGTCATTCGCAAAATTATTGCAAGAAATAATGTACCCACATAATTATTAACATGTTTGAAAAGTTAATTACTGATATATTTTAAAATATAATCTAAATACATATAATTAGCATGGGTACATTTAGCAAAATAAAAAATGGGTACAAATAAATTAAAAAATATGAGTACAAATACAAATAAAAATTTTAAAAATATGAGCACAAAAAGAAATTAATATATGGGTACAAATTAAAACAGAAAAGAAAATTGGTTGCAAATTAAAAATGGGTACAAACTAAAAATAAAAATATATGATGGAAATTTTAGCCATAAATATAAATATACAAAATATAACATTTCTAACACTAAATGAATATATTTAGAAATAAAAATATTTTATTATTGAAATAATTAATAACGTTTATTAATACCTAAAAACTTTAATTAAAAAATATAAAAAAATAAACTTTTAATCAATAGAGTAACAAAAAAAGAAATGAAAACTTAATTTCTCATTTTTCTAAACTACTAGAAGTAAACGATGAATTGTTTTGGATCTTGGCCTGGATCTTACAGGCTGCCACATGATCCTGATTATCCAATATCCACCAAGCATCTACTCACTCACTAATTATCCAGCCAACTATACATATTACCTACCATGCAAGTTGCAACTAGACAACACATATAAAAGACACCAATGGAATATAATAAGTGGACAAGAATACATATATCTGTTGCCCCATTTTCTGCAGGTGACAGGTGACAGGTGACATGTGACATGTGACATGCCCATCTATTCTTTTCTTTTGGTATGAAAATATAATCAATTTAGTTTTGGTCTGGTATAAAGGGGAAGGGCCTTTGCTCTTATATTGGGGCTCCATGCACACGCAGTTACTTTCTTTGTGCTTCCACGTCGAGTTTTTACCACAACTTGAGGAGTTTTGTGTGCCTAATGACTTGTTTTATTTAGTTTTTACACTCCTTTTGTTTACAAGAAAAAGAAAGATTTGAACTCGAGCCACAACTAGTTTGCCCAACCCAAGTGTAGATAAACCTTTTTATTGGTCTCACACATATAAGGTATCTATTGTTTGGAAAAGAAAAAAAGAATCAAATATGGAAAGGAGAAATTTTAGAAGTATTGATCGATTAAATTAAGTTGGTTAGAACATCGTGTAATTTCTTTGTTTACACTTAAATTCAAATCACTTTTGGTATAATTTTTTGAACGATGAACCAAATTATAATAAGAAATTAATAAGAAAATGAACGGAATGATGGGAGTTCGATGCGATGGTAATAAAATATTTTTAATATTTGTAACATGTTAAAAAAGTGTTCTACTCGTCCAATAAATGATTGAGAAAAAGATAATTTGTTGAAAAATCCACATCGGTATATTGAGAAAACAATTTGCAATCCTTTATAATTATATGGTTCTATTTCTAAATATACAGATTCTTTTTAAACTAAACCCTATTAGTATAACAATTGATCCATCTTTCTTAAACTTTGACAAAATTAATTACGTAAGAGAATGTGTCTATGATAAGGGTGATGATGCATTGCATGACGTGTAACCACGGTAAGCTTATCTGATAACTTAAACTAATAAGAATTAGCCCAACAATCCACTTTCTCCAACAAACATTTCATCTCATCTCAACAGATGGTGCCAGCAAACATCAATCAATTCACACATGTTTATGTTGGAAATATATTATCTCTAGATCTCTTTTACTAAGATCATCAGATTAAGTGATATGGATCTTTGAAATTTAATCATACGATTAAAGTTATTATAACTTTTAAAGGGAATCATGTTTTTAGCCGTTGAATCAAATTTCAAAGGTCTACATCACTTGATCCGGTAATCTTAGTAGAAAAGATTTAGCATCTCTTTCCATTCATGTCATCTGCCAAAAATGAGAGCCAATAATTGGGGATCTTGAAGCTGGACTGACTAGGAATGTGTAATATCTCAAATCAATCCACAATTCCACATTATAAAGGTCGCCTAGAGCGTTTGAATTTGTCATTTCCCAATTTTCTGTACCTTCCAGCTTTCCTCTAAGTATACCCCTTTTTAGAGATTATCAATCGTGACGTTTCATACCAAAAACCAAACATATATTTTAATTACTTGTGCATATACACGTCACGTAGGCATGCATGTATGCGTCTTTACCCAACATATGTGTGGGAAAGGAAAGGAAAAAAATAAGGGAATTTTAACGAAAAATTACATTTTTACACTAAAAAGTTAATTATGGTACTATTTACTTTACCCTTATCGTTAAAACTCAAAATTTTCATTAATTTTCCTAAAAAATAAAGGTAGTTTATGAAGTTACCCTTTAATATTTAGCGGAAACTAACACTGCAGAGTTGGATGGCGACTGAACATGCATAGTATTTGTTGGTATGCATGTTCCATACGTATTGAGCTTTCTTTTAATTTGTCACTAAAAGCAAACATTTAGGTATGTTTTGTCACTAAAGCAACGAGTATCTGGTGCCATTCGTCATGAGTTACAGTGGCCATTGGGAACGTACGTACGATTGATGCAGCCAATTTCTTTCTTTTTCACATCTCATCTGATCGTTCGTTATTTTGATGCAGGAGTGGATCGTGATTCGTCTTGTTTGGGATTTTAATTAATTAGGTCATGGAATTCCAATGTCGCACTACTTCTCTCATATTGCATGCTTAAATTATTACCGCATTTTCTTCACTTTAATGAATCAGATTCCATCATATATCGATCATGCATGAGAACTTGGTAGCTAGCCACCACTTTCTCATACCCAATAGGCATCGTGACATGTTCAATGATGTTTGTGTCACCCATATCTGACCTCATGTTTTCCATTGGGCTTTTATTTGGGGACATCTGATTGATCGGGCTGCTCAAGGCAAGTAAAGGGCAACTCATGTCTTAAAGCACTCACTCACGTACATGTCTATTTATTATAAATCAGCAAAGGATTTAGCGTTTGATTTGGACCACAAGTCTTTGTATTCTGTATAAGTTGTATCAGTTAGCTGGCTCGTAAGGGGTTAGCTAGGGTTGGAATTGTTTTTCCTTCCTTGGTTTGGTCCTTCTATTACTTAATAAGTTATTGAACAGGTGTGGAAGGAAGGGAACGGAAAAGGGACTCGGGGTTTTGACACAACATCATCTCCATTAAGAGGTTTTTTCAAGTGTCGGGTATTCAAGTTGTACGTACTCCATATATCATAATACAAGTGGAGAAAATGATATATTTTTCGCATCTCTCTACTTATTTTATAACAGGTGAAGTACCCGCTTAAATACAGAAACACTAGAAAAAATTTCTCATCTCCAACATCTCCATCTCTCCAAGCCTTTGTGATGAAATTTCACGTGCTTCTGTTCACATAGAATCATAGATAATCTGATGCTCACTTCACTGCCTCCAATGCTGTGCAACCTATAGGTAGGAATATCAAATGTCTATTTTAGTTATATAAATACTTCAAAAACTTCTTGTAGTATCATGAATTTCCCTTCCAAAAATATCATCACAACCTTTGTTTTCATGCCATTTTCGATACACTTGCAAGCCTCTATAATATCATATTGGTTATTGGACATTATCGAGTTTTTCCAAATCCCCATAAATCATTTTCAGCCTGCCTTTACAAATGATGATATAAATAAATGGTAAGCAGAACACTTTTGTTATCTATTTATGTGGCTCAGTAAATGGTAAAACCACTTATAAATGACTAATAACAGTTTCCTTATATACAGACAAAAGATCTTGTGAAGCTAAAAATTTACATTTTTTCATAAAAACCATGAACTATAAGTCACGATTTTAAATTGGTTTTGCAAATTTTTTGGGGAAAAAAAAAAACCATCACAAAACTTGTTAAGCTAATTAAAATTCATGTAGACATTTCAGACATTTTAGAGATTTTCCAAACCCTAGAAATCGCTTACGAGACCTAACTTTTTTCATCCATTTTGCTATGTTGTAATAAAATCGTCACAATCCTTGTTTTCGTGCCATTTCGTCACACTACAAGCTTTTTTTTAATTTCATGCCGGAAATCTACTTTTTGGCACTACATTTCTGTAAATTACCGACACCAAATAAATACTTAGGCTTCGATTTTGGTAAGAGCTATTACAGATTTGAACCGAATGGTATTTGCAGCTGTACTCCCACCACCCCATCACAACACAACGGCTACAACTCTCTCATTCATTCAAAATGTTGTAACCCTCTAATCTAAGTCCACACATTATTATAAAATATTCAGGGACGTAGGCTTAAACTCAATCAGTATAATTTATATAGAACGGATTCACCGTCATGTAACGTTCTAATCCAATAGTACATTAACATGTAGAGAATTGAATCAAGACGTGACATTGAATCCGTCGCATATAAAGTGGAGAGGCTATTATACAAACAATAGGAATAGCCGATTAGGGGAAGAAGAAGATAAGATGAAGAAAAAGCTGTCTGCCTCTCTCTCTCTCTGAGGAGGGGACTGAGAAGAAGAGGAAGAAGAAAGAAGCATTAATGGAAAATACAGAAGCATTAAATATCTCTGAGAGTATATTAATTGCTTGCGTTAATCGCTACAGTGTCTGTTGTCCCTCTTCAGCCTGCCTTCATTGCTCTGCCAAACCCCCTCTCTCTCCCTCTCTCTCCCGATCTCTTATCCTCTGCAACTGCAACCCACCTCTTCCATCTCTCATTTATTGCTCTCTCTCTCTCTCTCTGTGGCCAGTCCACAATGCATGTAAAAACATGTCATCCCAACTGCTTAATTTCCATCCAAGTAAAAAGGCAGTAACTTTCAGTTATGATTTAGATAATCTTACTAATGTCTTTGTTGCCTCCTCCTAACTGCAGCTTGTTAAACTCGGAACCCAGCTGCTGAGTTGAACTTGAACTTGACTCGGGCATCTTCCACCTTGATCTGCCCCATGATGATGAATTGGTAGAATCACTTAAACTTAAGCCTGCTTCTACTTCTGCTCCTGAAGAAATGCCTTTCATTGCCATCACTTTTGTTGGTATGGAAGGTCTCACTGGTGCCGGTGGTGCTGCACAAACTGGGATCACCGATCTCATTTGAACTGCAGGTGCAAAATTCTTGTGAGGACTTAACCCTCCACTATACATGTTGAATCCACTAGTCTGTCTTTTTGAAATCTTGACACCAGGTGCGGCCTTAATTGGACAGGACAATTCAAAAGCGCCATAATTTCCGGCATTAGACACAGGAAATTGCCTGTATGCAGAACCTGATGAACCAAATATACCACTTGAATTTGAACCACTAGGATCCTCCTTTACAATACCAAGCCATTCTTCCTCATCCCTTTGGTGCTGTTCTAATGGAGGTGGTATAACTTTTGAACCTCCCCTCACACTCACTTGTACTGGGATTGGCCTATAATCGGATAATGGTGGATGGGAAGGGGACTTGTCTTTGTTGAGCATTGTAGATGGTGGCAAAATCTTCGAGGTGGTTCGAGGGGGGAGGTGGAGGAAGAAGAGATGCAAAAGTGTTCTGCTTTTGAACTGTTGAAACTTGTGGAACCAAATCAGTTAACAGATCTACCAGCCTCGAGTTTTGATTCTGCAGAGAGCTAGTACTACTACTGGATGAAGATGATGACAATGACAACGACGATGATGATCTCACAATTCTTCTCCTTGCTTGAATTGGATCCATCCTCCTCATAAATTGCTTGCTATTATTATTGTTGTTATCATCTCTGGGTTTAAAATTTGAGAGCAACCTTGTCACAACTGCCTGCTCTTCTTCTGCTTCTTTATTTGTGGAAAACCCCAGGTCTGGAATTGCACAAAGATACTACATTTCATGAGGCAATTGCATAATGCTAATAAAAAACACAGTTAAAACAAAATATGCAGAAAATGCATACATACTTTTTTTCAAGGCAAACCAGGCTGCAATTGCAGCATTCTTCTCTGCTTGCTTCTTGGTTTTGGCCGGCTCGCCAGTAAAATTCATTCCGGCAAGCTCCACGGTACACGTAAAAAACCGGGACATGGCCGGGACCTGATCGTACAGTGGTGTATACAGGGAGCTTCAGCCCAGCTCTGTGAGCTGTTTCTTGGAGGAGGTTTTTGTAAATTCCAGTTTCATCCTTCACATTTACGTAAGATAAAATTCAATAAAAAACCATGCTAAATAATTATTCAACGTAACTTTGGAAACAGAGAGGCTTATGGTGGATGTTAACGAACTTACAAGAACTCTGGCAGTGAGAGACCTGGAAGGGCCTCTGGTGGAGAGCTTATTGAGAGCAACTTCTGCGGCTGCATGCTCCGCCTGTCTCACCGTGGTGCAGTAGGCCGGGCTTTCGAAGATCTCGTGGTTAAAGTTTACGGAAGCTTTGAATCTCGGCGCATGATCCGGTCCTTCCCTGGTGCACGCGTACGAAGGCAGGTTGAAACAGCTTCTCTGTGCAAGCTCCTGCAGCTGGTTCTTGTACATCTCCTTCACAAAACAAATCCAAAAAACCCACCAAATCTTCCATAAAACATAATTACAAGGAAAACCCATCATTTCAAGTGGCAAAAATCATACAAAAAATGGTTGTTAAATTTGCGGAGAAACTTACATGTAATTAAAAGCAGGATTTTTTAAGAGATATCAAGAGTGAAAGATAATGAACTAAACTAGTTGCGAGCGACGAGCAGATTCCTCAGTCAGTCCTACATTGGCTACGAGCACAAAAGTTACAACTAGTAAATGTCTTCTGAGAGACAGCAGGTGGAGAAGAAGAAGGACAAGAAAAAGCGAAAAGGAAATGAAATGGTGAAGCTTTAATTACGAGCAGCTGGTAAAATCTTATTGTACGGAGCAGTGTTATCAGCACACTGAGAAAAATCTCGGAGCAGGCGGAGTGGAAAATGTCAAAAAACGAAGCTTTAATTACTCTTTTTGAGATTTTTTACCAACTAGGGAAACAGAATTCTTTACTGCTATTAATTCAAATCAAATATTTTCCCGTTATATCTGCAAGGTCAAATTGCACAACAATCCCTGCAGTAATACATTACCAAATTATCAATTTATTTTGTTTTGGGGAAAAGATAAAGACCATATCATCGGATTTGGTTCATCTCCTGAGCTTAGAAGGTTGAGCTTCATGAGCAAAGCACATGGACTGTTGGATTTTAATCCAACGGCTACAAACAGAGGGATCCTCTAAAAGTTGTAATAACATCACGCGATAGTGTAACAATAATTCACAATATAATTGGTGAACCACAGAGAGAGAAACTCCACAATGGCAATACAATTAGGAACTAACTAATTCCACAAACGCAATACAAAACAAGAAAGCTCACCCATACAACACACAACTCCTTCCTAAATTGCACAACGGCCAAACCCAACACCTTACAGTGAAAGTCCCTTCCCCATATTGCACATAATATTAATGTCGGACTTAAATGGCTGCGCACGAAAACAAACCACCACTCTGCAGGACAATCAAATCTTCCGTGTCGCTAGTCAGCTGGTCTGTGCATTTTGGCTGCCTATGTATGTCCGTTCTCGTTCGTCAAGCCGCCGCTGCTACTGCTGCCCATGCGGTTTGGTTCCCCGACTCTAGCTGCCAAAGCAAGAACTTCTGGGGACATTTCCCAACTTCCACTTTTCCTTCCCCAGCTCGATCGCCTGGGATGTATTCCAGCGCGATCCACAGTTTCATCAACTGTCGTCCTTATATCTGGGGATACTTCACTTAATTCACCATCTTTTACATTCACGCGATCATTGCCGTTATGCTGCCCGTCGTAATTATCTCCCCCAGCATTCATGTCACCCCACACTGTTTTTCTGCCCATTTCAATGTCATCCACAGCTTTTCCCATATTTGGGCTCATAAAACCCCCACCCCCTGATCGAGGAGGTAACGCCGGTTCCCTTGGAACCTTGTCCCTGAAATTGTTCTTGGACTTGGGAATGGTGGTACAAAATATCTCTTTGAAATTGTCGATCACTCCTTTGTTATACGGGTTGGCTCGCCTATCATATCGATAGCGGAAATTCTCATATGTAGTCTGCAAAAACAATGCCCACAGATATAAGATCACGCTAGTGCTAATATATAAATCACACAGATAAAGTTCTATGCTAAAGGGTTGTGACAGGTTCAAGATGGGTCTCCTGACCTGATTTGTACTGATGAGATACAAATGGAAGGCTGTAAGACCACCAACAAACCACATCGATATGAAAGTATAGAGTATCAGCACAATAGATGCTGGAGTTTTAATCAATGCTTTCCAAATCGTTGTCTCCTCAGCTCCCATGATCCTTCTAACGTACACCCAGCAGAATGCAAAAACATATATACAAAGAAGAGTTGTGGAGAAGACAAACATGAAGAAGAATCGATAGTTCCTCTGCAACCAAATTAGGGAATGTTCAGATTCATTTTCCTTATACCCAAAGTTTCACATATCAAGTATCATTTGAAAGGAGACCTCTGAGAAGCCACCATATAAGCAACATGAGTTAATTAAATAAAGCCAAATCAAGAAACATGTATTAACGACTGTACATTCTATGTTAGTCCTATTGAGTCTTTCACAAGCACGCACATTTAACCAGATAAGCTAAAGCACCTCATGTGACTATGAAAAACAATTGAAAGTCCAGTCTCCTTGTGAATTTCAGGTTGAGATTTAAATATTCCAGGTGGAGATTTATATATTCCAATATTTCGTACATTACTACAATTACTATGGTGTATATTACTAAGACCAATACATGCAAGAATGCTTGCATTTGTCTCAGTTCATATTCATTGGCAGAGGAATTAGAATACAAGTCTAATGAAAGAATTACTTACCAGCCCAATACACTGCCCAACCCAGGGACAATGGTGATCGAATCTTTCTACACAGTTGTTGCATATTGAACAGTGGGAGCAGCGAGGAGGTCTATAAAGCATACAAGTATCACAATACTTGATCTTAATAGAGATTCCATTCACCTCAACTTCTTTGATGCGAGGCAAGCGCAACTGTGGTGTTTGTCCAGCCCCACCTTCTATATTCCCATCAAATCCTTCAGGCTCTGGAGGGTGTGTGTTACGGGGAATTATACCAGGATCTCTTCCAGAGGTTAGCAGGAGGAGAATTAAATCCTGGAAATTGAACATTGTGTGAGCATTTTTCACAAAGTGCAAATACATTGACATTTGTATAGTTATCAACTTATCACTATATGCACCAGCTAATGAGTGCTTTTGAAGGAACAATTTTACTAGAAGCTGCAGAACTTGTTAGAACAACTCTACAAACCTAGTTGATTATCAATACATGACTCGTCAAGGTAAAAAACTGACTACCAAAATAGACTCCAAAATCTATTCAAATAAGAGCCTGTCTAAAGTGGTAAAATTTTCAACAGCATAGTGTTACACCAACCTACAAATTGTATTGGTAACAATCACCGTAAGAAAGAGTATTGTACTTAAAAGGAAGTGATATGCTCCATAACGTACCATGTTCCTCCCTAATCTCTTTGACTAGAGGCTAGCATTTTTAAAGTGCAGTCCAACCAATGTAAGTTTACACTCTTTCAACTAACGGAAACTATAGGAAACTTACCACTACCATTTGGAGCATGCCAAACAGTCCTATCACAACATACGACCCACACTCCAATCCAATGCAATACACTCAAATACTACATATATGTACACACACACACAGAGACACACACGTAGACATACACCGAGAGAGAGAGAGAGAGAGAGAGAGAGTTCCTTTCGACATAACACAGCAGATTTTCTGGCAAAATATAAAATTCCTTTACACAAATAAGCTGTGTGGGAATTGGAAAGAGAACTCACATAAACAGTGAATACAACAGCGACAGCCATTATTAATATTCCCAAGTGATGTGAGTAATGATCCATCAACTTTCTGGCAACAAAGATGCAGAATATTGTGACAGGAGCAACAATCAGAAATATGGTCAGCCCCAACGATCTTACATCTGGTCCGAAAACAATCCTCCCCTGAAGGAAAAATATCTGCAAACAAGCAAATACAATACATTTATGTAATTTTCGACAATGGCATTCACGACAAAGCAAGCTACTGCCCTGCAAACCACCATCTGAATTCTAAAAGCTTAAAACTTGGCATCCCTATACTTGTAAAACATTAGCTTTATGTTCATCAAACTATAAACAAACACAACCGATCCTTTAATTCCGTGTTTATCAACATAAACTTAGTTGAATTCATCATTATCCTCGCTTTCGTCTTAAATGTATATGCAATATCTCCTTTTTACATCTTTTCTTTGTTACTTTCAAATTCCTCACAGGGGCAAAATAAGAACTTTAATTATTTGACTAAAACATTATCCAAAAATAGATATTTGAAAGAAAAAAAGGCATAAAATTGCGAAGAATAATACCAATCGCAATAGGACAAAAATAGTAAAAACCTAACAATGGAAAATGCATGACCGAAACCATAATCTATGAAGCTCTAAAACTTAAATTATATAAAACATAGCCTCACTGAAATTATTCCGGAAAAAAAATCTAGCAGAAATGAAACAAGAAAGAAAGAAATCTGAGCAAGCGAAAGAGAGAAGACGAAAAAGGAGAGTAAAAACGAACTGACATTGCTGCCCTTCCAATTCTGGTAGACCCGCAAATCAGTGGCGGCGCCGGCGGATCCGGAAGCCTGATCCGATCGCTGCGGTGGAGGCACCACGTACATCGTTTCCTCGCCGCCAACAACAGCCTTCTCAGTTTCAGCTCAGCAAGATCGTCCTCGCTGGATTCTCGATACAGCAATGTCGATTCTACTCTCTAGTAGTCGCTTTTGACTCAGGTCCGGACTCCGAAGCAGAAATAACGGAAAAGAGGAGCTGAAGCGGTCGATGTGGTCTGAGTAAAATGCTAATGGGTCGGGTTCCGGCGAGCCGGGCGGCAAGGCGCGTGGGCGGGTGGGGTTGAAGCGAAAGGAGCAAAAGGGTTTTTCATTATCCTTTTTGTTATCAGCAGCAAGAGCCGAAAGAGAGAGAGAGAGATAAAGAGAGAGAGAGGGGTTCGCTCTATCACTGCTGTGTGTCTGTGCTTTACAGGGGGATGGGCTGACGTGGCGTGATTTTATTCGGCGGAGGGGCTTGGGGCTGGACCAGACCCGGACCAGAGAATACGTGACGGGATGAGTATGAGTTTTTACTCAAAATTGCTCGTTGCCGAATCATAGAAGTTTATAATTAAAATCGTTCATATTATAAACTATTTTATAAAGATAGACTCTGTTTATGTATTTGTAACAATGTATTGATTAAAACGACCTTAACTTTAATTCATTTTTTGCACATATGAATTTTACATTGTGATTTGTATGTAATATGAATGATTTTGATAACAAAACAAAGCTATTTGATTCAAACATAGAGAATTTTAAGTAAGAGTTAGTACTCATGTTTTTAGTAGTAAAATATTATTGTTTCCCAAATTTCAATAAAAAAAACTTAAAGCATTTGTAATTTTCAAAGGGATGTGATATCTACACATCTATTTTCTCATACAACCTTTTAATTTTCGACTGTCAAATCGGATTAATTGAAAAATATCAAGGGACAAAAATAAAAAAAAGGTGTGCAGATAACACATCCCTTTTCAAAATGCCTTTGAGTATTAAGCTCCTATAAAATAATTGGAATTTATTAAGAATGACATCTTTGTTGGAAAAGGAAATGAAGATTTTGTCCGCCGTTCTAGCATATTGTTTCTTAGAACAAGATTAGAAGGAGATGTTGCAACACTTGTCATGTTATGGCGATGGTGGTAATGTATGGTGTCCTCCACAACTCCAATGCTCATTTCATTTTTTCACTAGTTGAGGAGCATTTTCAAGTATTTTTAACATAAATCTTAGGGTTACCAAGGTGTGATTTATTGTTTACTTAAAAACTATATGGTTAAATATGTGAACAATGTTTATGAGTTAACAATAAAAAAAAATGTGAAGGAATAATTGATTTGACCAGCTTTATTCGGTAAATATTAATTTTTTTAGCATTACCGTTAAACTTTTTCGAAAGTAAATAGAATTTTGGAATATAGAAATGTTGGCCCTTTTCTTTTCTGGATGAAAATCGAAATGCTAAAAGTCCTAATAGGGGCATGCATTTAGGAAAGAGGAGGAGGAGGATTTGTTTCAACTTTTGCTTTGTCTTTCTAAACTTTAGGGGATTCAATGTCAAATCGGAAAAAAAGAAAAAGAAAAAAAAAATCTCTGCTTTTGCTTTTACTTTATAATTCCATTTTCCCTTGCTGATCAGGAATGGGTGGCCAAGGATGAATGGATGGCCAAGTGAATTTGCTCTCACAAGTCAAGTTGCAAACCTTTTACCCTCCTCTGGCTCTTTGGATTCAATCGAAACCGTTAAGTACATAGAATTAAGACGTATTGAAAGTAAGGTTGACCGGTATTTTATTTTAAGGAAATTAGAAGAGAATTAGATACTGAAGAACAAAAAACACCAAGAAAATGAGATATTTGTTTCCATGGACTCTTTGTTGTAAAGTCGGTCGCAGATGAGATGAACAAGCAACTTCAAGAAAATTAGATTGTTAGGTAAATAGGAAATCCATGGTGATTGCCATGAACGATGACCCCATGCATCCTGCACGAAAATCCACGATGGTTGCATGCAGTTGCAGTTGCACTGTTGCAGCTGCACATTTAAACTCAATCCAACGTAGGAATGAAAACACAAGGTGCAATCATGCTCCGTTCTCCTTGCTTAATACATACATAAAACTTTAAAATTATTGATACAGAGACCACATATTTATACTACATTGGTATATCATCATATTTATAATATATTTAGTCAAATAGTCCACATAATTCAACGAGTACAAAATTCTGGTGCATACCATGTTTTGGTGCATGGTAAAACAACGTGTATACACGTAGGTTTGACTAGTGTATACAGCTATATGTTATTAACTTATTTACATCTAAGTTCGAAGCTTTTTTGTAGAACTCTGAGGCATGTCATGCTTCGGTGCATAGCCATAAGAGTTGCAGACGTGCGTTAGACCAAGTATTATTTTGATGAAAAGGACCACCATATACAGTACAAGTTGAGCACCACATATGGTCTGTTGGAATTAGAAAGAGTGAAAATCAGAAACGTTATTATTCTTGTGCAATGTTAAAGCCGGCTATGGTTTTGATGGTGATAGAACAATGGCGAAACCTTTCCGTTGACACTGGTAGTAAAATGATGACGGTGAAGCTTTCGGCGGCAGCCGGCGCTGCAACTACCTGAGCAACAGTTCGACCAAGAGGTGCTTGCTAGAAGTAGAATAATAAGAGAAATAACGTGTAATGTGCATGAACGAAATGAATGATAACTACTACAAAAGGAACGGAATAGTTTTCACAACCACCTTCCTTGAACTACAAAAAGACCGAAGATGATTTTCGTCGATCGTGCCAAAACCGGATAACTCAATCCCGTACTCCGCCAGCCTCTTGATATCCCTAGGAAGCGGGGATTGCCAAAGACCATCCCACCAAGCCGGAGGGAGAAGTGGCGTGAAAGCACACTGATTGGGCTGGCTATGGCAACTGAGTGGACCAGCAAATCTGTTCCACACATGCCCCCAACCGATCTGAAACCTTAGACCTTCTCTCAACAAATCACCTTGGAAGCTGCTTAAGAATGCAAAACTTGAACCGGTTGGGTCGTTGCCTGAGAAAGAATAGAACGAACATTAGAACACTTTTCGGCAACATTTGTTAGTAGAGAGGACTCGGGCACTGTATGTATGTACCAAGATTGTTTGCTGCAGCCAGTGCCGCAATTAACTGAGCATAGGTAGTCCCAACACGCCTGTGAGCCCCGGAGACAACAGCATGTTTTGCACGCGATGCAAGAAAGAAGTCCACAAAAGCAACCCATCTAGGTGCTGGACCCCAATCCTTCACTCTAAAATCTAAACTGTGCAATCCTTTACGGCCATCGGATATATTTCCTTTGAATAGTTCATAATCAAAATGAATAACCTAAGATGCACAAATGAATCAGATACTAAAGAACAGAGTTAGATTGTAAAAGAACGCGTAATAAAAGAGACTTTCAAACAATTTAACTCAATTATGTGAAAGAAATTAAGGTTGCATTCCCGAATCCTTATTACAGATTTCAAAAGGACAAAGTTCCTACAGTTATTAATTTCATGAGTGATATACTATGCTGAATCGCTGATCATGCAATTAGATTTCGGATATTCCACAGACAAAGTATATTACCTCTGCAAATTTACTTATATTTGGAGTAATACTTTTCACAAGAGAGGGATTATCTGACACTAGCACCACCCTAGGTCTTGGGGACTTGCCAAGATTGTGCATGGATTTTTTTATGCAATTCAATGCTGCCTGTGCAGCTCTCACAGACCTGAAATACAGGAGGCAAAACATGTGTCATTGATTAAATTCATAGGGAGAATACATGGCATTTCTGTGTGTGTGTGTGTGTGCATCGCATGCAAGCTTTCTAATACCAGTTTGATGGTTTACTTCCAATAACTACATCGCCGAGCATGCTTCGGAAAATGTATCAACTAACTGGGGAAGCTTAACGATAATAAAACTTCAAAATGAATTGGCCACAACAATCAAGAAAAACCAAAGGTATTTGTTAATTTCCAACATTAGAAATTCTTATCAACTTTTCACAAAATTACATCCATTTCTGTAATATTCACTGCTTTAACAGGATTAAGATGTCCTACCTCATCAACCCTATATTTCCGAACCTTGTACTTAATCTAATCAAGGAATGAATTAAAAGGGAGGTTGTGTTACTTATTCATGAGCATTCGCATGTGCAGTGAAATATCAGGTTCCGCTCCACCAAGAACCCAATTGACTGCTTCCTGAACATCCACAGAAGGGGTTATAAGCACTCTCATCAGCTCCCCAAATACATTAGGCCGAGAATGGAGATCCTCTGGCTTCCCAAATAAAGTAGAAGCAGCATTCCTCATCCCAGGGTGGATATTCTTCAAGAAAAACTGGGCTGCCACAGCATCATTCGTCCCTTGGAACCTGCATTGTTAACATTAACAATCATGCGACGATATCCAATGATGACGAGTTAACAGAAAGATCGCAACACTTTTATCACTTTACCATATAATGGGTTGCTTCCATTCTATCCAGTTGCTACAAAGAACATTGGTCTGTGCTGGCTTCTCAAAGTCATCACTTCTCATAACCAGTTGCCTTCCATACTTGTTTGCACATTTATTAAGTCTCCAAAGATGCTTAATTTCTCTGATGGTAAAGGAAAAATTGGAATAGGAAATGTAATCCTCAAAAGGGAATTTTCCCCTGCAACAAGCAACACCAATATGAGCACAAGAAAAAGTATATATTGCTGCAACTTAATATGCTTTAGCGGTAAGCAAAATCACCAGCTATTTCTAACAATTCAGGTTACAGCAGGAGAACACTACTATACAACAACAACAACAAAGCCTTTTCCCACTAAGTGGGGTCGGCTATATGAATCCTAGAACGCCATTGCGCTCGGATTTGTGTCATGTCCTCCGTTAGATCCAAGTACTCTAAGTCTTTTCTTAGAGTCTCTTCCAAAGTTGTCCTAGGTCTTCCTCTACCCCTTCGGCCCTGAACCTCTGTCCCGTAGTCACATCTTCGAACCGGAGCGTCAGTCGGCCTTCTTTGCACATGTTCAAAATCACCGGAGCCGATTTTCTCTCATATTTCCTACAATTTCGGCTACTCCTACTTTACCTCGGATATCCTCATTCCCAATCTTATCCTTTCTCGTGTGCCCACACATCCCACGAAGCATCCTCATCTCCGCTACACCCATTTTGTGTACGTGTTGATGCTTCACCACCCAACATTCTGTGCCATACAACATCGCTAGCCTTATTGCCGTCCTATAAAATTTTCCCTTGAGCTTCAGTGGCCTACGACGGTCACACAACACGCCGGATGCACTCTTTCCATCCAGCTCGTATTCTATGGTTGAGATCTCCATCTAATTCTCCGTTCTCTTGCAAGATAGATCCTAGGTAGCGAAAACGATCGCTTTTTGTGATCTTCGCTAGATTGCTCCGGTCATTAGTGTGGATAAGTATATAAATGGATAGAGATAGGAAAGCAAACACAAGATGTACGTGGTTCACCCAGATTGGCTACGTCCACGGAATAGAAGAGTTCTCATTAATTGTGAAGGGTTTACACAAGTACATAGGTTCAAGCTCTCATTTAGTGAGTACAAGTGAATGATTTAGTACAAATGACATTAGGAAATATTGTGGGAGAATGATCTCGTAGTCACGAAACTTCTAAGTATCGGAGTGTGGTGTCGTCTTGACTTGCCTTATCTGTCTCATAGGTAGATGTGGCATCTTCTCTGGAAGTACTCTTCCTCCATCCAGGGGTGGTATCTTTAACTGGTGGAGATGCACAAGGGTAATGTATCAATTTCACTTGAAGCTTACTTGTAGTTTCAGGCTTGGTCAAGCGCGCGATACAAACCATGTAGTAGGAGTCCCCCAAGTCGCCGAGCTAGGGGGTCTACTGAAAGAGGTGACAGACAAGGTAAGCAATCAGAGCTCCGACTGATTGTTCACCTTCTCCCCCATCTTTGCAGCAGCATGAAGGATAAAGAGAAGAAAAATGAGAAGAGATGATATGAGATACTTTTTGCTTTTGAAGAAGTAACTTTCCACAGGCTTATTCTTGAACTGAGCTGGAGGGTTTTCTGGTTTCCTCCAGAGTATAAGGCCGACTGAAGAATTTGAGGGTCAAAACAAGTCCATCAAATCTAGAGTACGTTCCACCCTGCTGATATGGGATACTTTTGCTTTTGACAGAGTAGTGAATGTATCGGCACGTGTGCTGTTACGCTTGTCTCCACATGCTTCCTTGTATCCTTCGCACTTGCCCTATCTGTTCCTCAAGCAGATGCGGAATCTTCCCTGGAAACATAAGATGTTGAAGATGAGTACTCGAGAGCAATGCCAGGTAAGTAATCAGGTAAGGGGTTCCAGGCAGTCAGTTCCTGGCTGGGAGCTTGATTCCAAGTGCTGACTGATTGCTCTCTTTCTCCTTGTCTTGCAGGTAAAAACAAGGCCAAAAGAAAAGACAGGGAAAAAGCATGATATGGGATACTCTTGCTTTTAACCCTGATGATATGAGATATTCTTGCTCTAGTATAGCTTGTTTGCAGAGGTATTATCGGGGGGAAAGAAAGCTGAATATTTCGAAAGGCTTCGTTGGGAGTGCCCTCTCAGATATGATGAAGGGTTGAGCATTTTTGCAGGTCTGCCTGTCCGTTGGGGATGGAGGTCGACATATATAGGAGTCTCCCTAACAACAAAGTAGTAATGCTATTCCTTTACCCTGCTTGGTCATAGCACGGTAGTGGGAGCTGCCAGTTTCACATGTTTTAACTCTGTCAGAGCACTTTGAAAAAGTGGTCTGTGGTATCTGGCTCTCGAGATTCGGAGAACGATGCCTCTCTTCGATTTTTGAGAAAGCAATCATGCTGGGGGTATGACTCTCGAGATTCGGAGAGCAGTGTCTCTTCGATTTTTTTAGGAAGTAATCATGTTGGGAGTCTGGCTCTCGAGATTCGGAGGGCGGTGCCTCTTCGATTTTGGAGCAAGCAATCTTGTTGGGAGTGTTGTCTCGAATGTGAGTAAAGGTTGGGCATGTTTGCTAGTCTACCTTGCCACGAAGCACAAAGGTTGACACACAGGGACTTTCCAATTATCCAGCAATGGTACTGTTCCTTTACCCTCTCTTCGATTTTGAGAAAGTAGTCATGTTGGGAGTCTGGCTCTCGAGATTCGGAGGACGGTGCCTCTTCGATTTTGGAGCAAGCAATCTTATTGGGAGTGTTTTCTCGAATGTGAGTAAAGGTTGGGCATGTTTGCTAGTCTACCTTTGCCACGAAGCACAGAGGTTGACACACAGGGACTTTCCAATTATCCAGCAGTGGTACTGTTCCTTTACAGTTGTGGGTAATAATATGGTAGCTAGACCTTCAAAATTTATGTGTCTAAACTTTTGTTAGTGCTGTTTCTTTGCTATTCTTTTACCTTTCTTGGTCAGAGCGATGTAGTGGGAGCTGCAAGCTTCACGTGCTCAACTTTTGGCAGAGAACTTTGGCAAAGTTATTTGTGGTACCCATGAGCTATTGTTGCGTGTGGGAAGTGGGTGATTGAACAGTAAGATTCATGTGCTTTCTACTTCACCAGAAGTCTTCGACAGAATGCCCATAATTTCTGCAAAGCTGAGTGTGCGTGTGACAGGTGCTGACAAGGCTAGAAAAGTAGGTGCCTCTTCGATTTCTGAGATCGGCCCTCGTGGTCTCTGAGCAGCCCAGCTTTTGAGAAAGCGAGCGCCTCTTCGATTGATTCGGAGAACGATGCCTCATCGATTTTTGAGAAAGCAATCATGCTGGGGGTCTGGCTCTCGAGATTCGAGGAGCAGTGTCTCTTCGATTTTTGAGAAAGTAATCATGTTGGGAGTCTGGCTCTCGAGATTCGGAGGGCGGTGCCTCTTCGATTTTGGAGCAAGCAATCTTGTTGGGAGTGTTTTTTCTCGAATGTGAGTAAAGGTTGGGCATGTTTGCTAGTCTACCTTGCCACGAAGCACAGAGGTTGACACACAGGGACTTTCCAATTATCCAGCAATGGTACTGTTCCTTTACCCTCTCTTCGATTTTTTAAGAAAGTAGTCATGTTGGGAGTCTGGCTCTCGAGATTCGGAGGACGGTGGCCTCTTCGATTTTGGAGCAAGCAATCTTATTGGGAGTGTTTTCTCGAATGTGAGTAAAGGTTGGGCATGTTTGCTAGTCTACCTTGCCACGAAGCACAGAGGTTGACACACAGGGACTTTCCAATTATCCAGCAGTGGTACTGTTCCTTTACCCTTGTGGGTAATAATATGGTAGCTAGACCTTCAAAATTTATGGGTCTAAACTTTGTTAGTGCTGTTTCTTTGCTATTCTTTTACCCTTCTTGGTCAGAGCGATGTAGTGGGAGCTGCAAGCTTCACGTGCTCAACTTTGGCAGAGAACTTTGGCAAAGTTATCTGTGGTACCCATGAGCTATTGTTGCGTGTGGGAAGTGGGTGATTGAACAGTAAGATTCATGTGTTTTCTACTTCCCCAGAAGTCTTTGACAGAATGCCCATAATTTCCGCAAAACTGAGTGTGCGTGTGACAGGTGCTGACAAGGCTGGAAAAGGCTGGAAAAGTAGGTGCCTCTTCGATTTCTGAGATCGGCCCTCGTGGTCTCTGGGGAGCCCAGCTTTTGAGAAAGCGAGCGCCTCTTCGATTTTTGAGATCGGCCTTCGTGGTCTTTGAGCAGCCCAACTTTTGAGAAAGCAAACGCCTCTTCGATTTCTGAGATCAACCCTCGTGATCTCTAAGCAGCCCAGCTTTTGAGAAAGCAAACGCCTCTTCGATTTCTGAGCAGGCGCCTCTTCGATTTCTGAAGCTTCGTCGAGTGCAGATTTTTATAGGGGCTGGCATTAAGTTCCAAAGCACACTTGAATCTCCACCAGTAGAAGCTTCATTCTTGCACTTCTAAGATCTTGATTTGTCCGACCTCTTCTCTCTTCAACACCTTTGAAAATGTCTGGCCCCTCCGACCGTCGTTTTGACTTGAACCTTGTTGAAGAGGCAGCCCCGCCTTCTCCAGACAACATATGGCGCCCATCCTTCGTCTCCCCTACTGGTCCTCTTACCGTTGGGGATTCCGTGATAAAGAATGATATGACCGCTGCGGTGGTGGCCAGGAACCTTCTCACTCCCAAAGATAACAGACTACTTTCCAAACGGTCTGATGAGTTAGCTGTTAAGGATTCGCTGGCTCTCAGTGTTCAGTGTGCAGGTTCTGTGTCTAATATGGCCCAACGCCTATTTGCTCGAACCCGCCAAGTTGAATCATTGGCGGCTGAAGTGATGAGTCTCAAACAGGAGATTAGATTAGGGCTCAAGCATGAGAATAAACAGTTGCACCGGCTCGCACATGACTATGCTACAAACATGAAGAGGAAGCTTGACCAGATGAAGGAAACTGATGGTCAGGTTTTACTTGATCATCAGAGATTTGTGGGTTTTGTTCCAAAGGCATTTATTGCCTTCGTCTTCTGGGGCTGTACCGCGTAATGAAGCTCCAAATGATCAACCTCTGATGCCTCCTCCTTCTAGGGTTCTGTCCAGTACTGAGGCTCCAAATGATCCCCCTCCGGTGCCTTCTCTTTCTGGGGCTCTACCGACTGCTGAGACTTCTCCTAAGCAACCTTTGTGAAGGCTCCCTCTTGTGTGCTTATTTTGACTCATGTATATGTACATATTTGTAGCTTATCGGGGATATCAATAAATAAGCTTTCCTTCATTTTCAACGTATTGTGTTAAATACACCAAAGCCTTCTTCGCTAAGTTCTTTGAATTTTCTTTTGTTAAAGCTTGTATGTTGAAGCTTTCTGAGTGGAGCATGTAGGTTGGGGTAGTGTTCCCTTAATTTTCCGAGTGAGGAAAACTTCTCAGTTGGAGACTTGGAAAATCCAAGTCACTGAGTGGGATCGGCTATATGAATCTTAGAACGCCATTGTGCTCGATCCTGTGTCATGTCCTTCGTTAGATCTAAGTACTCTAAGTCTTTTCTTAGAGTCTCTTCCAAAGTTTTCCTAGGTCTTCCTCTACCCCTTCGGCCCTGAACCTCTGTCCCATAGTCGCATCTTCTAATCGGAACGTCAGTAGGCCTTCTTTGCACATGTCCAAACCACCGTAACCGATTTTCTCTCATCTTTCCTTCAATTTCGGCTACTCCTACTTTACCCCGGATATCCTCATTCCTAATCTTATCCTTTCTCGTGAGCCCACACATCCAACGAAGCATCCTCATCTCCGCTACACCCATTTTGTGTACGTGTTGATGTTTCACCGCCCAACATTCTGTGCCATACAGCATCGCCGGCCTTATTGCCGTCCTATAAAATTTTCCCTTGAGCTTCAGTGGCATACGGCGGTCACACAACACGCGCCGGATGCACTCTTCCACTTCATCCATCCAGCTTGTATTCTATGGTTGAGATCTCCATCTAATTCTCCGTTCTTTTGCAAGATAGATCCTAGGTAACGAAAACGGTCGCTCTTTGGTATTTCTTGATCTCCGATCCTCACCCCTAACTCGTTTTGACCTCCATTTGCACTGAACTTGCACTCCATATATTCTGTCTTTGATCGGCTTAGGCGAAGACCTTTAGATTCCAACACTTCTCTCCAAAGGTTAAGCTTTGCATTTACCCCTTCCTGAGTTTCATCTATCAACACTATATCGTCTGCGAAAAGCATACACCAAGGAATATCATCTTGAATATGTCGTGTTAACTCATCCATTACCAACGCAAAAAGGTAAGGACTTAAGGATGAGCCTTGATGTAATCCTACAGTTATGGGAAAGCTTTCGGTTTGTCCTTCATGAGTTCTTACGGCAGTCTTTGCTCCTTCATACATATCCTTTATAGCTTGGATATATATGCTACTCGTACTTTTCTTCTCTAAAATCCTCCAAAGAATGTCTCTTGGGACCCTATCTATCATACGCTTTTTCCAAATCTATAAAGACCATGTGTAAATAAATCCTTTTTCCCATCTCTATATCTTTCCATCAATCTTCGTAAGAGATAGATTGCCTCCATGGTTGAGCGCCCTGGCATGAACCCGAATTGGTTGTCCGAAACCCGTGTCTCTTGCCTCAATCTATGCTCAATGACTCTCTCCCAGAGCTTCATTGTATGACTCATTAGCTTAATACCCCTATAGTTCATGCAATTTTGTACGTCGCCCTTATTCTTGTAGATAGGCACCAAAGTGCTCATTCGCCACTCATTTGGCATCTTCTTCTTCGTTTTCAAAATCCTATTGAAAAGGTCAGTGAGCCATGTTATACCTGTCTCTCCCAAAAGTTCCACACTTCGATTGGTATATCGTCTGGGCTGGGCCTATTGCTTTTTTATGCTTCATCTTCTTCAAAGCTACAACCACTTCTTCCTTCCGGATTCGACGATAAAAAGAGTAGTTTCTACACTCTTTCTGAGTTACTCAACTCCCCTAAAGAAGCACTCATTTCATGTCCTTCATTGAAAAGATTATGAAAATAACCTCTCCATCTGTCTTTAACCGCGTTCTCTGTAGCAAGAACCTTTCCATCCTCATCCTTGATGCACCTCACTTGGTTTAGGTCCCTTGTCTTTTCTTTTCCCTTGCTCTAGATAGTTTATAGATATATATCCAATTCTCCTTCTTTGGTATCTAGTCGTTTATACATATCGTCGTAAGCCGCTAACTTAGCTTCTCTGACAGCTTTCTTCGCCTCTTGCTTCGCTTTTCTATACCTTTCACCATTTTCATCAGTCCTCTCCTTGTATAAGGCTTTACAACATTCCTTCTTAGCCTTCACCTTTGTTTGTACCTCCTCATTCCACCACCAAGATTCCTTTTGGTGTGGGGCAAAGCCCTTGGACTCTCCTAATACCTCTTTTGCTACTTTTCGGATACAACCGGTTCAACATTATACTCAACGCTGCACCACTTAAGATTTTGTACATTTCGTTCCCGAAACCCGCCTCTGATGCTTTACCCATCACAAATCCGTGCTGACAAAACTGTTCCGGTGGAAGATTTCTTACCCTGGAAGCACCTGAAATTGAATGAACTGCATGAGCTTCCTTCACCTAAAAGTTCTACTCAATAACTCACAGCTTCTACACTCTAACTCAAAAGTATGATGCCATCAAGTTTGACAAACGCAAATAAGAAATCAATAATCACTTCCATAAAAAGCAGAAAATGTAAAAGTGCGTTCACAATCAGCAGAAAAATTAGCAACAATACCATTCAAGTCAAAGTGATGCTGAATAAACTTCCTGACTCTGAGACTCTCCTCCCAAAACCCTCCTCCTTCGAACTCCTTTCCCATCTCCTCCACCGTCGCGCACGAGCTCGAATTACGCTTACTCTTGCTCTGCGGCTCCGTCTCCAGCTCAACTCCGCCGCCGTTTTCAGACTCCGAATCCAAATTTCCAATCTGCATATAGAAATCGGGGCTCGTCGGAGGATCGACTTGTCGTAAGTTGAGCATCAACAGCCCCGCTCCAGCACACAACGCACAGACTATCAGAATTGATCCGACGGACACCCGCCTCCTTCGCCAAACGCCATAGCTCATCTTTTCCTTCATCTTTTTTCGTTTTGCCTGTGTGTCGGTGAATGGATATGGATCTGGAAGCCACAGATCGCTCGCTTCGTCGTCGTCCAGCTCAACTGAACAAGCTCACTCGCAGTGACTGATTCAGACAAAATACAAACAGAATGGATGTTGGTTGGGCTTGGGCCACATTTTAATGCACCCGGCATTTTCTAAGGCCCACAGCCCACTATCAATAAGTCCGATGGGAAAATCATGCACGTCGACTTAAAATTTTGGGCTAAGTGCTTTTATACCTTTCATATTTTAGTAATTGTTAAAGTTAGACCATAGGGTTTCAATTTTTTCACATTGTATCGTGAGAGTTTGAAATATATATAAATATATACAGGCCCTTTATGTAAAAGGATCATCATTTTTTTTCAAAAAATGGGGATTAGCTGTAGGACCCACTCCACATCAAACTTCAATGATTCGAATCGTCTATTTTGTAAGTCTCGTTTCATAGATCATCCTTACAAAAATTCAATTCAATCCGAAATCATTTGCCTATTTAATTATCAAGATAAAATTTCATTGTTTCTTATATGGCAAAGTATTTGTTAATTTATTTGAATTTAATTAGATGTCTTAAACATTTCCGATTTGGCTAATACTTTGTGAGAATAATTTTTGAGGTGCAACTTGAAAAATAGACGGTTTGAATCGTTAAAAGTTGATGTGGTTGGACTCTACAACTAATCCCTATTTTTTTATAAAAAAAAAAAATAGGGATCCCTTCCCTTAAAGGTTTCCTCTATGTATATATAATGTTTTGATAGTTTAACTATAAGTTCAGATTTTAAGACATACATTTTGACCTACATTTTTGTAGTTCTCGTTCTGTAACTATTTTCAAGGTTTTGAACAGTCTATATTTCAAATCATATTAATGGATTATCTTTGTAAAAAAATTAAACAAATTCAAAAGAATTAAGACATTCATTTTTACTGAAAAAAAATATACTAGAACTGTTCTACAAAAAAAAAACATTAAATGTAATCCAACCGTCGTGTGATTTCCGAATGGGATGATTTTTAATACACACAAACTTTTTGGGAAGAATCAAAAGTTTATGCCCATTTTCAAAACAACTCCAAACTTCAGGGGTGCAGTTTGTAACTAGCTGGAAAAGTGATTATTGAAGGGGGAAAAAAAAAGAAAAAAAAAAGAGAGGAGTGAAGGGGAAAGACGGGGTGGGAATTGTATCCTCTCCGAGGCAGCCTCGGGATTCTACTGACCGGACAACACAGCTGTTGGATTTTGATCAAACGATTACAAACAGTGATCCATTTAAAAGTTATAATAATTGTAACCGTTAGATCATAATTCAACAGTCCATATTGTCCAATCAGTAGGATCCGAGGCTGCCTCGGAGAATATCCAATTCCGACGGGGCGACCACAAAAAGAATTTGCAACCACCAAAAGAGTCGAACAAACGCACGCCACAAAGCAATTTTAGCGCTCTCTTTTCCCTCCCTACACAGGAAACACCACGTCCGTACGTTCCCCTCTCTCGCGCCCTTTCTAACGACCGGTTCAATCCATCCCTTCACAAAACAAAACCAAATCAGAAATTCAAAAAACAAATAGGCAAATTGAAGTGATGGAGATGGAGAGAAAGAGAAGCGCAAATCAAGATTTTGGTTATTTCCTCCGACTCCGAGAACACAAACAAACGAACAAAATGAATCATTGATTCATCTCTTTCCTTCAAACCCTTCCCTCTCCTTCCATTGTAATCTCCAGTGAATTATTGATCCAAATATTCCCACAATTTGGAAAATGGAGAAGAACCTTCCGGACAAAGACGATCAGCCCAAACCCGACGCACCGCCACCGGACTCCTCCGCCGCCGCTACAATTCCAAAGCCTAATGACGATCCCAAGTCCACCACCACCACTGCTACTGCTACTACAAGTCCTGACGGCGATAATAAGTCCGCTGGCACTAAGCCAGACGATGACCAAAAGCCGTCTAATCCAACGGCTGAGGTTCAGGATGAGCAGAACTCCATTGCAAAGCTTGATGATCCAAATGTAAATAACGCCGAGACCAAAGTTTATCAAGGGAAGGAAGGTGATGACCCGGATTACGAGATAAAAAAGTTCAGCAGTATGAGGGTCAATAGTACCAGAGTGAAGGATTTTAAAGCTGAGAATGTTGAAGATCAGAACGATCCACTTCCGGTACTGGATGAAGATCCAGTTCCCGAACCCGAACCCGAACCCGAACCTGAACCTGAACCTGAACCGGAAGAGGAACCTAGCCTCGACAAGGTCTCGGAGGATCTCGACCACTGCATCTCGTCTCTGCCTGAAACCGAAAAACTTGAAAACGACGTCGTGGACGCCCTCAAGTTTCCGATTGAGCTTCCGAAGCTGGTGGGAAAGTTTTTGAATCTAGTTGAGGACGAGGTGGTGGCGAAACGCGACTCTGGCGACGCTAAGGTGAAATGGTGTCAGGAGCCTGAGAAGGACGCGTTGTTTCTGGATGCTCTTGATCGGATAGGGAGGCTGAGCAAGTACCTCTCTTTCCTCGGATTGAAATTCGAAGGGAGTCACGGCGCGTTGATCAACCACCTCGGAAGCATTCAGCACCGAGCGTTGCTGTATCTGGAAGAAGAATTCAGAATTCTTCTAGAAGAATCTAGAACCTGCACCGTCACTGACTCTGCATCCGGCGACCATAAGGACAATAAAGATCATAAGGACAGCAAAGAGCACAGTACTAAAGGCGGGAATAATAACAGCGGCAGTAATAAGCAACAGGATCATCAAGATCAGGAAAGCAGCGGCGGCGCATTGCCGGATCAGGCGGAGTCGGGAGGCGGCGGAGATGAATTACAGGCCGATCAGTTCCCTGGATATGCTCAAGAGGTAGCGAACAATCTGAACAAGATAGCCAAAAAGATGATATCCAGCGGATACGAAACGGAGTGTTGCGAGGTTTACATGATCTCGAGAAGGCACTTGTTCGATGAGACTCTGCACAAGTTGGGACTAGAGAAGCACAGCCTCGACGACATTCAGAAAATGCACTGGGAATCGCTCGAAAGAGAGATCGTGTCATGGGTGAAGGCCTTCAAGGAATGCACCACCGTATACTTCTCCGGCGAGCGGAAGTTCGTGGAGGCGGTGTTTGCTGACTACCCGTCCATCTCGTCGAGCCTGTTTAGCAATTTGACCAAGGGGGTGATGATACAGCTTCTCAATTTCGCGGAGGGGATTGCGATATCGAAGCGGTCGGCGGAGAAGCTGTTTAAGACGCTGGACATGTACGAGGCGTTGCGGGAGGTGATCCCCAAAATGGACAACTTGTTTCCGGCAGACTGCGTGAACGAGCTGAAGCACGAGACCTCTAATGTCCGGACCCGCCTCGGCGTGGCGGCGATATGCATTTTCTGTGATCTGGAGAACTCAATTAAGGCTGAGACGGGTAGAAACCCGGTTCCGGGAGGGGCGGTCCATCCGCTGACCCGATACACGATGAATTACCTGAGGTACGCGTGCGAGTACAAGGACACGCTCGAATTGGTTTTCAGAGAGCACTCGAAGATCGAACGCGCCGATTCGACGAGTCGGCCCGAACGCGGCGAGTACGAGGCAGGGGAGGGATCCGGGAACGCGAGTGACGACCAATCGCCGTTTTACTTGCAGCTGATGCGCGTGATGGACTTGCTGGACTCGAATCTCGAGACGAAAGCGAAGCTGTACAAGGACGTGGCTCTGAGCTCCATCTTCATGATGAACAACGGGCGATACATCTTGCAGAAAATCAAAGGGTCGGCAGAGATCAACTCGTGTATAGGCGAGACGTGGTACCGTCGGCGGTCGTCGGATCTGAGGCAGTACCACAAGAACTACCAGAGGGAGACGTGGGGCCGGCTGCTGCAGTGCCTGAGCCACGAAGGGCTGAGCGTGAACGGGAAGGTGGCGAAGCCGGTGTTGAAGGAGAGGTTCAAGAGCTTCAACGCCTTGTTCGATGAGATCCACAAGACGCAAAGCACGTGGGTGGTGAGCGACGAGCAGATGCAGTCGGAGTTGAGGGTGTCGATATCAGCGGTGGTGATTCCGGCGTACCGATCATTCTTGGGGCGGTTCTCGCAGGTTTTCGATGCGGGGAGGCAGACGGAGAAGTACGTAAAATTCCAGCCGGAAGATATAGAGACGTACATTGAGGAGCTATTTGATGGAAACCCCAACTCCTCCATATTCAAAAAGAAACCATAAATTACAACGAAAAGAAGGCCCTTAATAGCAGTAGCAAGCGCGAAGACGAAGAAGAAATTAATCGAGGATTAAAAGGAGCTTAGCCAAGTGTAACTAATTAATCATGTGATGATCATCAGATCCGGTGAAACGTCCAAAGCCCCCAGACCATTTCTGGAGTATCGAAATTCTTCATGTATTTTTTGTTTATTGATCCTGCCATTTTCTATGAACAGTACTCATCCCATTCATTCTTTAAACAAAACTCCTCAATTGATTTGTTTGTCTAATTACTTGCTCAGTTGCACAGCCCCCACAGGCTCACAGCCTAATTAACTAATTAATTAATTAATTTTGTACACCTGTCTTTTTATTTAACAAAGACAAATTACTGACAAAATAGGAAAAGATGGGACTGTTACAATCCGGATTCTCGTCGGATTTTCTTGACGAAGATCTTGAGAATCCGTAAATCATATTATTTCATTATACATTATACGGTTAAAAAATTATTTAAAATTATTTTATTTAAAATTAAATATAAACTATACTTTGATAATAACTGACGGAAACGATTCACGGACCGTTACGGACATGGCGTTGGGCCCTTGAATTCGGACCTACCAGTTTTTTTTATCCATGTGGTGGTGGGTGGCCTGACACCGGAGACCAAGTTCCTACAGCAACCCACGCAAATCAAGGTTTCGCGCAAGAGACGAAGGAGATGGGCTCTACCGCCTTGTGTTGCTTGAAAGATGCAGTGATTGAGAAAGAATGGCTGCAAGCTACAGTGACTGAGGGGAGGCGCTGTGGAGGAAGGAGACACGGGCTATGCTAGGTTTTGGGTTCTCGGGTTTGTGAGATTTTGTTGAAATCATGTATCGGTGGGAAAGTCGACAATGGGTGATCTTAAATATAATTATCATACTTTAACTAATATCGACGTTTTTTGTGATAAAATCTCACACCTGACAGATTTGATAAGTGATAAAATTAAAGATAGTATCGATATCGTTAGAATGATGTCTCTGGACCCGTAGATCTAAAAATATTTCAACAGATTTTACGGTGGACAGTGAACAGTGGTATGTCTCTGACACACTTCACCCAAACTTGTTTTTCTTTTTGGTTTTGGGTTCCCGGGTTAATTAATTAAATTTTGTTTTTCTAAAGACAAATCAAATTACACATTTCATAACTACAAAAATATATATTAACCAATCAATGAGGCTCCTTGCATCCAAAACTACACATGCATGAATATTCTTAACCCATTCCGGCTAGTACATCACAGAAACCATACAAGAAATGCAGAAAGGAAAAACGAAAGCCGATTCCATGGTACTGGTTTTTCTTTTGATTAAAATCGAGTTCCGAAAGCTGAAAACATGATTAAGTCTTTATTTTTTCTTCCCACACAATTTAACATCTCTCTTTGAAGGTCTGAAATTCAAAGCGTTTAGGCTGTAGATGCAGAGATTGGCCTGTTTCGATTTGACTGCTATTTCATTTGATGTGGATTTGTAACCAGGAACATTGCATGCAGAAGAAGAACTCCACATCAAGCTTGCCTGGCAGGAAGATACAATCGCTGAATCCTCTGCACATTTGATCCCCTCAACAGATGGGATTTCCAACTTGTACACCCCATATCTGTTTGTAGTTCTATTCACCGAGAACGATATGTGCTCTGAGGTTCTTGGCGAAACCGCTTGGAAGATGCAATCGATTTTTACTTCAGCACCTGTTAAAAAAAACAAAAAAGTTATGGTAGCGATTTTTGCAGTAAATAGTTTTTTTTTTTTTAACCATCTACGCTCTAAACTGAATATTTTACACAAGCACAAGAGGCTAAAAATGATGCATGCGTTCAAATAACGAATGACTAGTTAAGATTTAGCATCACCTGGTAGGAAGTAGCTGTGTTTGGAGAAGGTGTTGTTGTAGCAGATGTCACAGTAAACAAGGCCCATTACAATGATCTGGGAGTTACCTTTTGCTACTGCCTTATTAGTGACTTTTGCTGCTGCTTCAACTCCTCCCAGAAACACTACTGACTGGAGGAAGAAGAAAGATGAAATGGCCACGAGAACTACTGGATTCATGGCGGTGACGGCGGAGGATCGGACGAGAGCTGCTAGGGTTTGGTTTTTCTGTGAATGGAGTTTGAGAGCATTATGACATTTTTGAAGATGATGAGTTTAATTGAATTGTATGGATAGCGAGGAAACTGAAGAGGGGAGTGTAGATGATTGAGATCCAACTGGGAAGCAAAAAGGTGGGGGAGGAATTTTTATCCTTTTCACTAGATAACATAGACATGTGAATGTCCTTTGGCAACATATGTAATTGGTGCGTAGGAGAGAGAGAGAGGGAGAGATTAGGGGGATATTGCTTTATTTGTTAAGGTCTAATTCCAAATTATCCAATGACAGAAGCTCATTCTTATTTATGCAATTATATACTAATTTTACAGTTGGATGCACATTGAAGAATGCTAGAGCATTCATCGAGTGATTCTCAAGCTTAGAGCGTAACGTACACATACATTGATGTATTCTGTTAGAGCACTTCCAGTGTTGGAAGGCCTCCCAGGTCAACTGCTTATTAAATCCCCTTCAATGAATAGTAACTGCTTTTAATGAACAGTAATTGTCTTTTGCATCTCCACCCTTAAACTGAATAGCCATGACAATATGTAATAAAATATTAATATTTTTTATTTTATAAAATAATAATAAAAAAATATTTGTAATTTCATATAGGATTTTTAATCAGTTTTGTTGAGACACGTAGCATTAAATAAGAAATTACAAACCAAAGTATTTGAGAAAATATAAAATTGTGGTGCAAAGTGGAAGATAATGATAAGATGTTTATAGAAAATTTAAATCATTTTTTTTTAAATTTAAAAAAAAAAAAATTGGATTTTTTATTAATTTTTTATTAATTCTTTACATTTTTTATTAATTTTTTACTTTTTTTATTTAATTTTTTACATTTTTTACTTTTTAATTTAACTTTTTATATTTTTTTATTAATTTTATAATGTGATTGACGTCATCCTGATATTAGCCTTGTATGCTCCGGCCGATGATTCCTGCCTCCCCTCTCCCACGGAGCCGCCCTTAACCCAATTACCCGCATGTGCTGGAGCAAGGAAGGCTGGCTATTGGGTTTTTTTGATCCCCTATCCATCAGGCTATTGTGAAGCTTGCAGGGTTTATAGTTAATATGAGCAGTGAGAGGGGGGACCACAAATTGTCAAAATGTGAGGTCAGGTCACACTGTAAGTTGTACTGTAGCTATGGGCTTAACGGATGCCCCCAATATAATTTCTCTTTCAATCCCCACATCCATCACAGGAGTCCAGATCCCCTTATGGGCCCATTAGAACTCTTTTATCTCACAACCCTTCAGAGCACCACAAGTCTTTTCGGTCCTGGCCCAATCTATACAATTGGCATAAATCTGGCACCATTTTCTTTTTCTCAAAATTAAAGAGCTACGAATTGAGCTGACAATTATATCCTCTGATTAATTGATGTGGATTCTATTAGGCAAGGCTTTGACTTGGCCATACTTTTAGGCAGAATATAGTCCAAGCCAGCAGAGCTGTAAAATTGCCCTCTGCCTTACACTTATAGAATATGTCTATGGAAAAACTTTCATGCAACATGTGTTACTTATTTGCAATGTATATTCGCATTAATACATGATATTGCAAATTAAAGACTCGTTGCATGTGACACATGCTGCATATGACGAATCGACGCATGTACAAGTTTTTCTCGTGTAGTAGAGGTTAATTATATGGAATGGAACTAGCTAGGACTAGCCATTAATTGGTGAAGGTGTAGTCAGATGGCGGATGTACATTGGGACCAAGATGGTCTTAGGACCACCTGAAATTCAGGAAATATACATGTAAATGTCTTATGAAAACCCTCCTAATGTTTGGTACGAGTCATTTTTGTGCTTACCAAGTTTTTTATGCAAGTTTTTTCTTACCTTCCTGTACGAGTAGTGAAAGAATTATAGTGAGCTGTGGTTGTAATGTCTATTAGGTATATCTTGATAGGTTGCATCAACGACACTTGACAAATCTTCTCTGTATTATTCATCATATTACTTCGGCATATGTCGATATCCATTGACATGTGCGTAACATGATTTGAATGACGATAACAAGCTCACCAAGTGTTCAATGAAATGCTTTAGTGAATAAACCTAAAAAAATATACGTCACGCTCTGTTTCTATTTAAAAAATTTGTAACACTGGACCCTTAAAGATCGAAATCTGGATCCACCCCAAGGTACAGCTGACTTATATGCATGTTTAATTATTAACTACATTGATTTGAATTATGTATTGAATTAAAGCAAGACTGCAAACAAAACGTATATTGATGATAATGATATAAAAATGATAAAAATGGAGGGAGACAGGGAGGAGTTCGCCGCCTTGAAAGGACAAAAGAGAGGAAAAGGGACGGAGAGTTGAGACAAGCACTTCATTCCTTTGGCAAATCCAAGGCTTAGGCGGCGCCACCGACGCCACATCCGACGACGGTGCCTATGCCCCCTTCTTGGCCTCTTTCTTCCTCCCCGCTCTCGCACGCGTCTTCCCATTTCTTAATTTAATTGCCTTAATTCCTACCCTTCTCCCTCTCAAATGAGAGATTTTTAAAATCAGTGTAACCGATATATAAGGTGGGACATAACGTATCACTATGCAAATTGTGGGATATGTGTACTAAAAAGTTAATAACTTAAAAAATAAAATTGTTTACCACTCATATTAAAATACGCAATGTACCATTTGTGTTCCCGTCACAACTAAAAATTTCTCCTCTTAAATCCCTTTGTCTTTCTCTAACCTCCACACTTTCCCTTATTGGCAAGTTGGCAACCAAATACTATAATCTTATAGGTAAATTGCAAGTTTCTTTTTTATGAACATGGAAAAATAGCGTATTTTGGAGTGGTTCAAGAGCTTTTGGGCACTTGGCTTCTACTCGGTTTTTAAGGACAAGTTTTATGCGTAAGTTCTCAGTAATTGACACCAAAATCTAATTTTACCATGTAACAAAATTAAAATTGTCTTATTGATCTTAATAATCTCAAAAGGGTAGACTAACGAGAACGTTGGTACCTACATTTTGACATGCAAATCATTCCATACTCCTTTTTTACAATTGGACCATTTCCTTGAGCCTCTAGCTACCCAAATTTTGTACCCATTTACCTCAAAAATTCTAAAGATAGTGAGAGAGACATATAATATGTCTTGGTATCTCTCTGTCAATGTCAGTATCAATTTTTCAAGTTCTTTTCGCAATTGCGATGATTAAAAAGCCCTTTGTCCTTTTCTTTTTATTTTTTTATATTTTTTTTCCTGTTTTCCCCATTTTGTAATTCTCGTCCAACCAATTGCCAATCCCAAATTCACAACTAATGAAGAGTGAAAAATATTAATTAAATAAAATAACAAGAATATTTTTATTTGTTTTTGTTAAAAAATAATAATTTTAAGAAGATCTGTCACCATTATTCCAACCCTCCTTGTTCTCAGCTGGGCCGGCCCAAGAAAGGTGGGACCCGAACAAACTGAATTTGTCTCTTGTGCTCTCCATGGCCATAGCTAATGCTAGACTGCCAGTGAAGAGATTTTTCGATGTGACTGACACATAGAATGGTATATTACGTGTTATTATATAAATGATGAGATATGTGTGTTAAAATGTTAATAATTTAAAAAATAAAATTTCTCATCATTTACATAAAAACACGTGGTGTACCTGTATTCCCGCCATAATTAAAAATTTCTCGTGCTAGTGAACGTACAGTTAAATCAGGTACAAAAGATGACAAAATAATGCCCCTAGAAAACAACCATGCTTATTGCTCAGTACAATGGAGCTAAAATGGAGGTCGTGAAATCATGAAATCATAACCAACAAACACAAGCCATTCGTTTTAATATTTTTGTCCCTAAATCTCTTAACCCTTTCTTACACAAAATCTTGGGCCAACAGACAAATCCCAAGCCCTCCCTCCCTCCAAACAAATAAGTAGAGAGAAAAAAGAGTTTCTGCTTTTTCTCTATACCAAAACCAAACTCCTCCTCCATGCCTAGCTAATTAGTCTAAAAGCTCAATCACTACCTTAATGAGAGCTTATTAGCCACTCTAAACCCTAGTTAATTACTCTGACATCGTACATATATTTTTCATCAGTATTATTGGGTCGTGTCTCAGTTTTATTTTGGCTGATTATCCTTTCGAACCAACTATTAAATATCGCCTTGATAGTTCGCTGTTATTATTTGGGTGGTAGCCTGGTAGGTAGCTAGCTACAAGGATCAATTGGTATCAATCACCATGATGATCAATGCTCTTTCTGGGAGCATGGAGTCTGTCAAGAGTGAGAACTCATGCACCTCCGACCTCAAACCGCCGTCTCCGACGGAATCCACGACGATGTCTATGTCCATCTCAGAATGTAAGAAAACCACCACTCCTCCATCCTCAGAGCTGGATCAGCAAAGCAGCTTAACTCCGCTGAGCCTTAACTTTCCGACGCTCAAGTTCGAGCTAGACGATGTTGAAGTCCAATCTCCCGACCATTCCATCTGGGATTCTTTGTTCTCCGAACAATTCGATACAGATTTCATGGTCTTATCGCCCGTCCCAAACAACATGCCGAACTCGCCCCAAAACGGTGGTTCAGCAACTCATCAGAATTACAATTACAATTACAATTACGCTCAGTCCATGCAAGGGCAGAGCCTCTCGGGCTGCTCTCCCACTAGATTTTCGCCGCATCTCGGAGCGTTCAGCAGCACGCACAACCCTAAGGGCAAGGGACTCAGCCCGCTCCGTAGGGTTTTCAACTCTCCTGTCAACCAATACATGCAGCCCGCTGATCAGAACATGCAGTCACTCCCTGTTTCCATCGAAGACTTCTTGGACGATTATCAACGTGACGGATTCATAGTCGCCTACCCGACAACAACATCGTCCAAGATGTCAGGAAGCTCGTCGCAGTTTTACAATCATCACGATCATTTGCCAGCATCATCGACAGTTCCATCCGCCACGTTGGACTGCATGCCGATACATAACTCTTCGAGGTTTAGCAGATCGGAGAGCGAAGCGTCGTTGGTTACCGCTGGTAATTCTCAGCTGACCCAAGAGAGCAGCAGGGGAAGTGGCTATCAGCAGATGGGCGGTGCGCCACTTTCACAACAATTGCAACAAGAACGCATGCAAGAGAAGCAGCAACAGCCGCTGATGCAGCCGCACAA